ACAAAATATCACCACTCAAACTTGGGAGAAGTAATATAAATGCTATTTTGGATGCTTCTTTGCCTGTGTGACCCACTTCCCAGTGGGCAATAGTAGGCATTAATGGGGTAGTGGTAACCTGGGTCGTTGCCATGAACACAAAATGCTGATGCTACATCTCGACCCGCCGGGGGTTCGATTCCCCCTTAATGCAGATTGCCAGGCATCTTTTTAATGCACAGGGTGAAAAAAGCAATGGACTTTGTCGTGTACCAAGCAACCGTTGTATGTGGGCAATGTGAAGCATTTAACACTTTATCTTCTACAACACTACATCTCAACACTACACCACGTCCTGCATGCGCACATCCCCATCCTCTCTTTCCTCAGTTTGAGTTTGTTCACTCCCCAGCAACGCCACCGCCGCCTCCCTCATTCTAGCAATCTTCTCCCTCATCACCCCGATGGCTTCAACCAACAACTCCTCCGGTCTATACGCCGACTCTGACTCGACCGCGAAGATGAAATGATCTCGGATCCTGCTGAGCTCGACGGAGTCTCGGAATTCTGGATCCCGGAGGACCTCGCGGGAGACAGTGTCGTTGCGCATGTGGGTGGGGGAGATGGAGACGGTGCCTAGAGGGGTGGAAGTATCAGTAGAGGACCACAGAGGAGCGAAAAAATGATCATGATTTCATAAACAAACCTTTTTTCTTGTCGACTACCACAACCCCATGCGCGAAACACGCTTTGAAATCCTCCGCGCGCTCCATCCTTATTGGTTTCGTGATCACGATATTCGGGTGGAGACGATACGAGGCGGTAGCCACGGGACTCCATTTAGCGTGGTCTTTGCCTACCCCCTTCCGCGCGTGGAGCACCATTTCGACGGCTTGCCCTGGACGGAGCTTGGCTAGCACGATATCGGGGTTGAGTGCACCGAGCAGAGGGAGTTTGAGATCGTTATACGTAGGGTAAAGAGGATCCGGAGGCGTAAGCACCACGGGTTTGATCTTATCAAGCTGTTCACCAGCGGGGTTCCATTCGAAATGCCTCGACAGAAAAAGGTAGTTGGTGTACAACTTTTCGTCGGAGACGTTCTGATTATGATTCACAGAACCAGTAGCAGTAGCCGCCTTCCTCCTTTTATCCGTGGTATCATATTCCGCATTAAACGAACACTGCACGTTGACCCTGAACTCCAGCGTGTTTCTATCCGTCGGAGTATCCCCGTCGCCTCCCCAGCCGTCCATCGTCCTCGGATCGACATTCAGCGGCACCAGCCCAATTCTATGCGCAAGCACCTCGTCGTGTATCACCGATGTATTATCGAACACATACACCTGGTCAATCGCGATCGTCGGTACTTCCGCTATCATTATACGGCGAAACGCATTCGCGATGCTGGCGTCGATGCCGACAATGTCGAATTCGATAGACCGTTGGGAGAGTCGGTGGGTGAGTACTGTGAGGTTCTGAGCTGGCGCCAAAGGGAGATTCATTCAGCAGGAGGAAGGGAGGGAGAGGAGAGGAACGCACCTTTTTGAAGGAATCTAAATTCCAACTGTGGTCTTCGTCGGGGTAATGTCCAGGGAACTCGGTATTGGAGACGTGTGATACGCGTTCGGCGCCGATACTGACTAGACGGCGCGGGTTTATGTTCATCTTTTTTTTCGTTTTGTTGTGGTTCACGCTTTTCTGTACTTCTTCAAATTATTCTTCTGTGTGTGTCGATTCCTCGTTGCGGTATTAGTATCCGGATATTCAGAAGACACTCCCGAGTTGTTGCAGGATGATAGATTTAGATAGGATTCGGAGAGATAGCAACCTGGCGCCGGGTCGACGAGGAGAAGCGAAAAAAATTAAAATAATAGCCACGTGCAGCGAAGCTTTGTAAACCCCAACCCTAAAATCACATTTCAGTAACGCAACACGATGTTCGAACCAATCCGCGGAGGCACCAGAGGCGGACAAGGAGACTTTAAATGGTCAGATGTATCTGCGGATAAAGATAGAGAGGTGATTATTTCATTTACCACTAATAATACTAATACTAATAATAATAATCATCCTCATCTCATTCCTCCACACACCACAGAACTACCTCGGCCACAGCATCAACGCTCCCACCGGGCGATGGCAGAAGAACAAAGACGTGCACTGGTACTCCAGGGACCTCAAAGACTCTGAAGCCGAACGGCTAGCGGAAATCCGAAAAATCAAAGAAGCAGAAGCGGATGCGTTGGCTGTTGCTTTGTATGTTTATCCTCATCCTCATCTTTATCCCTACACCTACACTCACTAACTCCTACCCCAAAGAGGATTCACACCAGAACCCCGCGCCTCGAAACCCGACACCGGAACCGGACCCATCTCCATTCCCCCAGGAGATGGAGATAAACCCCCACCACCCACTGACCCACAACGCATCATCGAAAAAGAAGAAAAACGCCAAAGAAAGGAAGAGAAACGCGCTAGGAAAGAGGAGAGGCGGGCTCAGAAGGAGCTTAGGAAGGAGAGTAGGAGAGAACAGGAAGCTCGGCGACGAGACAGGGGAGATAGAGGTGAGAGAGGTGAGAGAAGTGAGAGAGGTGAGAGAGGTCGTCGTTACGAGGAGCACCAACACCGCCTCCACTACGACGAACACAGCCGCCGACGACACATCCTACCCTCAGAACGCCGAACAAGAGACAGCGCCAGCCGTAGTCGATCACGGTCTCCTAGATTCCGTTCGAGGTTACCTCCTAGGGCAATGTCTCCTCAAACGGATTCGAAATATCCTCCGCACGTTCCTCCTCGTTCACGAGAACGTTCAGATTCTCGGCCCCGTCGTCAATCGCCGTCGCGGTCTCGATCCAGAACGCCGCCGATGAGTGCGAGTGTGAATGTGAGGGAAAGGGGGGAACGCGATAGACAGCGGTAGTATACCCAATAATGCATAATCACTAGCATCATTTCGAAAACAACGATATGTATGTACTCGAAGTTTTGAATACAACCACAATCTAGCTATCAGATAAAAACAACAAAAAAACTTCACTAATTTTAATCCATGCATTAAGAGGGAATCGAACCCCCGGCGGGTCGAGAGGTATCAGCGATCTGTGTCCATGGCAACGACCCAGGTTACCACTACCCCATTAATGCTTGAGTGGTTTGCGCATATGTCAAATTATTTTAGACTGTCAAAATCATATTTATGTTGTATATACCACCCTTCAAATCATCAACGTATCCCACGGAGCTCGTAAGTCAGCTCAAACAACGCCGTTTCACCCTTATACACATGCCCCAACACTTCAGTCCTATACCTTATCCCCTGAGTCCCCCCAATATTATGTATATCCCTTGATATTCACACTCACATGAACGACGACGGGCACGGCATGTACCGCAGAGATGACCAAGCCGAGAAAAACGTAGATAATGGGTTGTACAGATAGCTTCATGGTTTTTTTTTGTAGGAATTGACCGTGGGGTATGGGTGACTGGCCAGCAGTTCCGTACGCCGAAAGCACTTGACAGGGAGAAGAAGAAAGAAAGAAGGAATGAAAAAAACGAAAAAAAAAACAGACAAAGGTTGTGATAAGCGCCATATAAACGCTCATAAGCATTGCTCCAACTTCGCGCACATCCTTCTCACAAACACTTTGACCCATTGCCATTTCAGATCCAGACTCATCAGAAGATTGCCTCCATCAAATTCCTCTCGGGCAAATTCAACTCGGCACTTCACCCATTGTCCTTTGATTGTGTTACATACGAAAGCGTGAAAGATTTTTCTCCCCTGCAGAGGATTCGACGTCAACGGCGGCATCTAAACCTAAACATAAATTCCATATTACTTCCTTGACTATTGGTTCTTGGATCAAAATCTTGGGCTTTTCTCGAAATGTGGATGAGAACACCATTCATGCCTGGTATCGCAGCTACCCACCACCACCACCACATCCTATCTTGGAGTATGTCTTCAACTTTTCTCTAATACATGCAGACGAGACCTACAGGGGTTTGGCCTGCTATCAGACCTGGAATCTGTATAGATAGATATGTCTACCGCCACAAAAAGCAGTCATGACTGCACAACCCGCCTGCCTGTCGTGTGCTTTTCATGACACCGCCGGGCCGAAAATGATTAATCAGTAGGGTTCTTGTGGGTCACAGCTCTTCACCGCTGCACTGACTCTACGTTTTTTCTTCTAGCATTTTGCCATTGCCATAACACACCCCGTCATGGATCAACAACCGTTGCTGGAGCCACTGAGCGTAGCTTTCTCCCAAAAGTGTACCAAGTCTCTTGATATCTGTTTCGACAATTCGCGTATATCACAGGCAGGATTTCAAGCCAAGAAGCCTTTGAATGAGGACAAGACTGTCTTTCTTGAATCACCACTGGGATTGATCATTGCACTTTTCGATGGTAAGGTGCGGTTGCTTTTGTGTCTCCCGTTTGATATCGATTCGATTGTTTCAAAGGCCATCATTCAGATGAATTATCAGACTACGCGTCAAAAACGCTTCCGTCGCTCCTATTTGAACGTATTCAGAAAACTTTGACTGAGCAAGGTTGCACCATGGACGAAGCTGTGGTTACTTCTCTCATTCAGGGTATCGAGGAGTACGATCGGTGGCTTATTCGAGATGTCATCGACGAATTTCCACAAAAAGACAAAACTGATTGGTCCGATCCTTTCTGGGAAGATGAACGCGAGGTGTTTAGTGTGCTGGGGTGGCTGAAGGAACATCCCAAATTTCAAAGGGCTCGGTATGCTGTGGTAGGAACCACAGCACTGATTGCTTTCATTGATAGAGCCAAGGAAAATGTATGGGTTGCCTCTCTCGGAGATTCAGATGCTTGTCAGTCGACTTTCTCTCTGTTTTCGTACTCAAGCGCCTCATGGGTAAATTAGTTCTGGGTCAGAAAAGAGATGATGGTGTGAATTGGAAAGTGTCACGCTTGAGTGATTCCCATAACGGCCAGAATGCAACGGAGGTGGAAAGAGTCCAGGCAGAGCATCCAGGTGAGCCTCGGGTCATCCAAAATGGGCGTGTTTTAGCCTGTCTTGCTGTAACGCGAGGTGCGTCCCAGGACAGTCATTTCGCTCGACCGCGACAAGTAATTCAAGCATCTTAATCTACCAGCGCTGGGAAATCATCAGCTCAAAACGCCCTATCACTTCGCAAAGAATATCCTGCGGTTCATTTGGCCTTCTC